CTAGAAATATTAATTATGCCGAATAAGCTCAATGAAAATGTACCTTTTGTTTGGAATTTCCCCTGAAATAAGCAGCGCCCTTCGTGATGTGTGAAAGTGTCTAGGTGCGATGGCCTCATAGCTGTATATCTGCAGTGTGCCATCTAAGACATCGGATACCTCTGACTGCTCACTGTTGGCGTTTTGCAGTGAGAGTTGGGGAGGTCACTACTGTGCTGATCACTGTTCTACTTGCTGGAGGCTCTGATATGAGAAAGCAAAGCCCCGCCTCTACCAAGATGGCCACCTCCATACAGAGACACAGTGCAGAACGAGGCATGGTAAGGAAGGAAAAAAAGATCAGCAGCAAGTAAACCACAGGCAATATTAGTGGCTAGTTCTTTGCCCTCTGCCTGCCATTTTACGGGGCACTTCCATGTAGTACAGGTCCTCTTTAAAATACATTAGACCAAGCATGTCAAGCTCAAATTAAACAGTGAATTGAATTTGATGGACTTAATCTCCAATGGGCCATATTTATATATTATAGCTTACATGTTCTTATGTGTTGACAGCATTAGTTTTCATTTTTCAGCTAAGAACATTTTCAGCAAGTACAGATAATAACTGTTGATCTTGCCAGAAATGCTGTGTCGTTGTAACTTCCTGTGAGTTGAACTGAAATCAAACAATATCGATTTCCTTCCAAGATATCTTCTTTAGCCAGTTCAGATGTCACCTCTCACACCTGTACAGCCCCTTATGGAGCAGAGCATTTTTTTTAGTTTCTTTGCTTTGTCATTACTCAAAGTAACACATACACTATATTGCCTAAACTATTGGGACACCCCTCCAAATCATTGGATTCAGGTGTACCAATCACCTCCACGGCCACAGGTGTATAAAATCAAGCACCTAGGCATGCAGACCCTTCTACAAACATTTGTGAAAGAATAGGTCTCTCAGGAGCTCAGTGAATTCAAGCGTGGTACCGTGATAGGTTGCCACCTGTGCAATAAGTCCATCCGTGACATTTCCTTGCTACTAAATATTCTGCTGTCACCTGTTAGTGGTATTATAACAAAGTGGAAGCAACTGGGAACAACAGCAACACAGCCACGAAGTGGTAGGCCACGTAAAATGACAGGGCGGGGTCAGCGCATGATGAAGCGCACAGTGCGCAGAAGTTGGCAACTATCTGCAGAGTCAATAGCTACAGACCTCAAAACTTCGTGTGGCCTTCAGATTGGCACAACAACAGTGTGTAGAGAACTTCATGGAATGGGTTTCCATGGCCGAGCAGCTGCATCCAAGCCTTACATCACCAAGTGCAATGCAAAGCGTCGGATGCAGTGGTGTAAAGCACGCCGCCACTGGACTCTAGAGAAGGGGAGACGTGTTCTCTGGAGTGACGAATCACACTTCTCTGTCTGGCAATCGGATGGACGTGTCTGAGTTTGGCGGTTGCCAGGAGAACGGTACTTGCCTGACTGCATTGTGCCAAGTGTAAAGTTTGGTGGAGGGGGGGTTATGGTGTGGGCACAAAGCAAGGTCCATAAAGACATGGATGAGCGAGTCTGGGGGGGAGGAACTTGACTGGCCTGCACAGAGTCCTGACCTCAACCCGATAGAACACCTTTGGGATGAATTAGAGCGGAGACTGCGAGCCCGGCCTTCTCATCCAACATCAGTACCTGACCTCACAAATGCGCTTCTGGAAGAATGGTCAAACATTCCCATAGACACACTCCTAAACCTTGTGGACGCCTTCTCAGAAGAGTTGAAGCTGTTATAGCTGCGAAGGGCGGGCCAACTCAATATTGAACCCTACGGACTAAGACTGGGATGCCATTAGAGTTCATGTGCGTGTAAAGGCCGGCGTCCCAATACTTTTGGCAATATAGTGTATATGGTTTTCTGGACTTTTTTCTGCTTTGGGCAAGCTTTAAAAATATTGTTACTGTAGATAAAAGTAAAACTGTTGTCCTATAACTTGTCCTATTTAACATGACACAAACATTATGATTCTGGGAAAAAGCATTTCAGATTATTTACAAATAAAATAAAAGCCTTTTTTTGCAATTTTCCAAATTCCTAGAAAGCCACGTAAATCAATTACAAAGAACAAAATGAATGAAAACAAAAAATGCTTAAACATAAATGCTTAGAAATACAGGAATAAACTAAAAAAAGAAATCAGAAGGCAAGTTAAGAGGAGAAGGGGGAAGAAGGAATTCCTTCCATTATTCCTTCTATTATTATATTAAAATTTATAAATCTTCAGTCCACTAGATGGAGTCAAGGAGCATAGGAATTTCCAATGCTCCTCAGCGCCATCTACTGGCAATAGTGACGCGCGAACGGCATTCGCCCAGCTGTACGCTGGAGGAAATTTTTATAAATCAGCCCCTAACATGTCAGGTTGCAATTAATGATAATACAGTTATCCAGCACCCACATGGATCAGTAGATGCCAGATAACTGTAGTTTTTGGTTGCTTGAGAGTTAAAAGTAACTCTCAAACAACCACCCCCCTTCGTGGTGTCCTCCCCCACCACGGCCCCATTCATCTGCTGGCTAACTTCCGCAGCCGACAGGTGAATGCAATTAGCTGGGAGCAATAGCCAGCCTGCTATTGGTCATTTCAAATTTGGTTGTCTATTGAAACCCCGTCCACTGAGCAGTGGAGCGGACCTAAGAAATTTTGTCTTAGGGCTGCTCCTCTGCTCAGTGGAAGGGTGCAATAGCCAGCCTGTTATTGGCAATAGCAATTTGAAATAGCCAATAGCAGGCTGGCTACTGCTCCCCATTGTTTACATTCTGCTGCCGACTGCAGAATCTAGCCGCTGGCTGTCGGTAAGATGTAAACAAAGAATTTTGTTTGTTTTTCTTTTCAGTTAAGATGTGAAAATGAGAGACAAGCGTATTGGTTGCCGTGCACATCTGCTCCAGATTTTGTCTGCTCCAGTTTTGATAAATTCCCCTCACCGTTTCTGCAACTGGTTAAATTAGAGATCCCCCATGCCCTCAACCATAGCTCTTCCATAGATACAGTGGAGTCCATAGATACAGTGGAGTGAGTGCTGTCACAGGAAATTGTGTTAAAAACAGATTAACAGGTGAAAATAAAGGGAAAAAAGCTGGGGGGGGGGGGGGGGGGGG